GTCAATAAAATGATACGTAATGCGTTGAAGCATTAATAATTATTATAGAAATAATTAGCGTAATATTTTTATTATTTTACTGGAGTGGCAAAAAAATAATCACAGAGTCGTCCTATCCCGATTAGACAGTCGAGGGTAAATAGGACTATAGCCATATACCTATTAAAGCGATCGCAGTATTCATATAATATGACAATTGCATTATAAWTTATAAATTATACACTAAAGTACTTACTGAATTGTTGCACAAAACTCGGTACCGCTGCGCAACACGTAGGTAAAAGGCAATAGAAACGGAAAAATGAAAATACTGAATGATCGTAGCACGCAGTTATTTGATATTTCTATATCTGAAACGATTAAACGATTTGAACTATATTACATACTATGATATTTCGAATATTCGATAATACACCGCAGACGGAGTTGGTTAAACGACCACACGACGTACGGCCATTGAACTATATGATAACATGGTATCATATAGTTCAATGCGTACGGCAAGCAACAGTTGAAGCATAGATATAATGATAATGATATAATGATATAATGATAATGATAAGTATATTATGTATAATATATAATAATAATATAATATATAATATATAAGTATATAATGATTACAATGTTTACAGTTTAAATCAGAACATCAGCATATCTGGGGAGTGGGGAGGACTAGATGGACAAGATYCAGTGCAACGGTAGTGGCGCGAAGCTAAATAAAAAAAAAAAATCGAAAGCGAAGCAATCACTACTTCACAGTTCACTAGTTCACCACCGAAGTACCGACTACTAGTGTTCTGCATGGTCCGGTCTAAATCAGTCCGGTTCGGACCGGACCGGACCGTAGTGCGGTTTGGTCCGGTCCTAATACATAAAAACTAACGAATCGTCTATTTGGTCTGGTTCATTATTTTTAAGGAGTTATTTGGTTCAGTCCTGTCCAGTCCTAGGATTAAATGCATTATTTTCAGTCCGGTTCGGTTTCAAAAAAAAAAAATGTTAAATTGGTTCGGTCCGGTCTCAGCTTGGTCTGAATTTAGTACGGTCTCAGTTCGGTCCGAACTCGGTCCAGTCCCGATCACAGTACAATCTAAATAGGAATATAGGATTGATTCACTTTGATTGTTCATTATTTTAACAGGCGATGGGATAACGTTATGAAAATTATTGTAAGCGATCTGTTTATTTTTAGTGCTGGAYGTGGGTATTTATTTTTTCCCCGAAATTACGATGACGCGACGTCGATTACCGATAAGAATAATATACTATATAGGTATAATAATGTCACAATTAAACGTGTACGATAAAATATATTCCACTGTAATTGGAGGAATAAATTG